GTGTTTTATTCTGCAAAGTGCAGCCTCATGAAACTAAAGTGAGCAAACCTGTGATAGCTGCAATTGAGCAGCACCTGTTATTTTAAATTAAGACCAATTTCATTAATGACATCATAAAAGTTTCTGTGAACCCCAGCTGTCTCCTAAGTTTTGGTCTTTCTCTATTGTGTCTGATGCAGAAAGGCTCCATGTGGTAGGAAATTGCCTTAGGGCTGCTGCACACAAGAGGATTTTCAACTATTTCCCTTTTTTTTTCAACACGTGGGAGATCACAGACAAAATTACAGATTTAATCTATTTAAAAATATAAATAATCGTCAGAACGCACACACCTGACGATTTGGCCAGAACATCAGACCACACATTTTCAGTTTGTAGAACGAACAATTTCACAGTGGTGATTCCAGAGATTTGAAATCTCACAAAATTGGTGACAGTTTTTTATGGTGGTTCAGGAATGAATTTTAGGTACATTCCCACCACCTCCTGACTTGGAGTGTGGAGCACTCATGCCATTGAACATGAAAAAAGAAAGAAAAACAAACACGGAGGAGCAATATTGTGTGTTCTGGTTTGCAACGAAAAAAATTGAAAAAAACCTATGGCTTAGAAGGCTTATACATTTTACAGCATAAACTGAAAGAGTCGTACATTTCTGTCTGAGCTGAGTCTCCGACTCAATCAGTAGCATTAAGATGATTTTGTAAACCCCCCACACTTCAGGATTATTTGTGCAGATAATCGGCACAGTGTGACCTCCAGTCGAGAACGCCCCAATAATTGTCGGAAGGGGCAAATCGGGTCTAAAATCGGCCCGATTATTCTCTAGTGTGCAGCAGCCCTTAGCAAGCAGATTGTGAGACTTCATAAAGATGGAAGGAGAAAAAAGAGCCTCAGCAGGCACTGAGCATGAGTCGACACAGTCGCAGCAGTGGTTAGAAGGTAACCAAAGAGAAACATTACAAACAAATCGAATGGATTAAACTTTGGCAACAGACATGAAAGAAGGTCTGATGAATACTGGCAAGAGCTTCTGTGGTCAGATGAGGAGTGGGAGTAGGCACAGTCGGGTGGGAGTGTGCTGATGTGGGGCAGAAAACATTTATAGATGAATAAACGTACCCAATACTGCAATACTCCGAGATACTCGGTATGCTTTAAATTTAAATTGAAGCTGGTCCTCTCTGTGGAGGCTGCCATGTTTTTTTTTTCACTGTAGTCTTAACTGGACAAACTAAACACTTTTGGAGTTTTTAAGACAACTGAAGGCTACCACAGGTTCTCTTTCATGTTTGAAAGGGGAGGTTAAGCAACATGCAACTTCACCTCTAGATGTCACAAAATTGTACACACTGAACCTTTAAGTTGAAGGCAGAGGAGCAAAACCTCTCAAGCAAAGAGCAGCTGAACAGACTCATTAGTGAAAAGTAACAGTACAATTTTCCACAGATCTGTGCAAGAGTAGTATTGTCCATGCTCCGTCAGATTTAATCTGTTGAAATACATAATATTTAAAAACAGAAAGAATGAAAGCTCATGAATGAAGGGCAGTTTTTTTTCTTTAGTTGCAGCTGCTTCACTTCATTTCATTATATTAGTCACTAGTTAGTCTAAAGTTTATTAGTTTCCATGACACAAAACATTTGTTTATTTCAGATAAACTGGTTTATTCATCTTGGGCTCTGGCTACAAAGGAAAGCCAATGGCAAAAATCTTAATCTCAAAAAGCTCTCTTGGTCATTGTGTATGCAATTTAAGTTTGGCCCAAACTTCAGCCAGTTTCCTGTAGAAGAGGGCAATGGTTATTATAGCTAAAATTCTGATGTCATAGGTAAATAAGTGCATAATATAAGGGCAATTAATGAACAGAAAAGTGTGAAAGTGGTGTTTAAAACTGTGCCACTATGTGGGTAGCTGACATTCAGAATATGATGTACCCCAAGGGTGGTAAACCAATAACAATTTCATGTACAATACAATATGAGTTTTTATGCTAACTTTTTTTTGAGAAAATTCATGACATGCACCAGAAAAAGTGGTGACTTCTGGGTAAGTTGGCATAAAATGACTCGAAGAGGTGCATCAGACCTAGAAAATGTAATGTCTGCTGTATAAAGACAAGGCAAAGCTACACTGGCCACTGTATTGGAAGACAGATGTCTCTAAAGCCATTTTGACCTGCGGGTAAACTCCTTAGCTACTGAGTTTACCAGCAGTCTGCCTTTCACACATGCACAACACAGCGGGGGGGGTTTCTCTGCACGGATGTGTTCAAAACAGCAAAAGATTCCACTGCTCTACCCAGGCAAGAAGTGGAGCAGCAGGGAGCAACGGGGAGAGGCAGGAAGCAACATATTAACTCCGCTGTGGAGATCACATGATTTATCTTTACAACACACAGACGCTGTCGTCGGCCCTAATCACCACAAACTCTCTAGACATTTTTGTCGGTGTCTCCTACATGTGTGACACCACTTTTTCACTGGGAGTATTTGTTTTCTTTTGTTTTTTCATTTTTGCATCTGTCGCGCTTTAGAAGCAAACCCCTGTTGTGTTCACACATTGAATTCTCCTGACTATTTGCAGACTTTCTACAAGGAGGCCAGGCGGAGAAAGTCAGCACAAACTGCAGAACCTCTCAATCAACCATATGCTATCACATATGCACCTCCACTGGAGAAAATATGGAGTATCTATAAAGTTCAGTTCATGTTTAAAGCAGCTTAGGAGTTAATAGTGATGATGCAGACTTCTGCAGATGTAACCAACACATCAACACTGCACAGTGTAACACTGCCTGACCTTGATCAATATTTAATTGATTTCAAAGTGACAGTTGGTGTGTCTTTACATGTACCTACTGTACGTGTTTGTGTGTGTGTGTGTGTGTGTGTGTGTGTGTGTGTGAGTGAGTGTGTGTGTATGAGAAGAAACAAGGGACAAAGGGGGACAAATACATTAATGGTTCGCCGGGGTCACAGAGACAAAGAGAGAGAGAGGAGGAAGTGAGACTGTTTATGTATGTCCATGATCAATGATCAATATGACCAATTAATCAATCAAACTTGGGAGCTCAATAGTTCTCCCAGCTCTGATTCTGCTGAGGAGACATCTTTACTACTCCTCTTCTCCTTCTGGTCTCCTGCTCTCCTCTCTGTCTCTCCTCCACTCCGCCGAATGAGACAGTGACAGATTGGTGAGGTAAAAGGCCATAGATCAGGGTGGTACTAACGTCATAGCCTGATAGATGGACTCCACTCCGTATCTCATGGCGAACTCATCCACTATCTCCTGAGACACGTCGTCAAAGTAGACCTTCCACGCCTCGTCCCCTTTCACCTGCGGGATCTTCACTACACCGCTGTTCTTCACCTCGGTCAGGTAGTGGAACAGGTTCTGTGAGTGGCACAAGAGATTAGGAGCAAAAGGTTACGGTAATGGAGAATGGCGTCATGTGAAAGGACCCATTAGGACCTATATCACAGCTGGTATCAAACTTTTTTTGCAGATCAGTAACTATGATCCTGTTTGTTTTGGTTAGTTTTACTTTTCTTTTGTTACTGTCCCCAAAGACGACTGTTGGAGTTAAGTTTTTCATGATGATGGTTACCTCATGTAAACAGGTGTACTGGCCGTGAGGAGGAACCACATTTTCCTCCCCCTTCATCTCCACACTGATCTTGAGTCTGATGGCACCAGACACAGCAGACTTGTCTGTCCTCTTATCTGTAACACAAACAAGCATTTTCAACATAACTGGAAATCAGTTGAAATGCAACATGCCACTTCTTCAGAGGGCAAAAGTTGGCTCTTGTCCTTAGTACCACAAAATAATAGATTACTGTGAAAATGTATATATTTATCACCTTTCAAACTCTAAAAGCTTTTTTCCAACTCATACATTAACACCTGTTTTCTTTCCCCTGGATTGAGCAGTTCAGTTACTATTACAATAGAAGTTATATTTGTATTGCACTGTTCTTAATAAGTGTTTTACAAATGGGTTAAAAACAACAACTAAACAAATACACTTTAATAGGAGACTAGATTTCTAGTTATGTCTCTGATCTTAATTTCAAAATGTTCTCAATGCATCAGATAGTAGAACAAGTGAAAGAAGTAAAACTCAAGCACATAAATAGTGACTCCACTAACTGAGAACAATGTAAAGGTCATTTAACAATACTACTGTCCACCTTAGTAAAAATGTGTCCTTGACCATATTCATGACATATGAAACACTTATGGTTCAAATACAAGTGACATTAATGAAACATGGTAATATGGTATGACATCATGTAGACAACAGCAATGACTGACTCACTGCACTTGCATTAGATTATCAGCAGCTGAAATGATTTGTTTTTTTTTGTGGAAATTGAATTTATTTACTTTAATTGAATATTAAAAAGCATGTACAGTAGATACACGCACAGTCACAAAAACATACAAATGCAGGGAGACACACTGCCAACAGGTCCTGGAGCTAATGACTTCACAGCTGTAGGGGTGCCTTCACAGCTGCGCCCCATATATAAATCATCTTCTCTGTTTCAAATGTGTGAACTTTTCCTCTACAGTCAGTTGGTCAAGAGTCAGACAAGTGAAACATAATAACGTGACAAAGCGACAGTGCTGCAAGTGCAAACGCAGAGATTGAAGAGGAGATGAAGAGGCTTAGAGAGGAGAGCAGCTGCAGGGGTGACACCCACACCAGCAATGGCCTGTTTAGATATTCATTTTGGACATTTAAAAAAGCACAGGGCAGCAGCAGTGGGCAGGGGTCACTATTAGCACAAATTGCTTCCTTTTAGCTAGAGAGGCAAACAATGACAGCAGCCGCCAGTCACTTCAACAGAAGTGGGAGCTCCCATTATGCTGCCAACCTCGTGCTGTGTAGTGAAACCAGTGACATATGAGAGTGAAAGACTCAGCATCAACATCTACTGGTAAATATCTACAACTTTAAAATTCAACAACCCAGCTATCAATGTTTTTGTTAAAAATCTTTAGTCAAGTATCTAAAACTGAGATTATTCTGCTAACAACACTGACATAATCAGGGTTCACTTCAGAGACAAACCTGCAGAGATTCACCACCATTATCACAGGCTCAAAAAATGATGATTGAAATAGTTAATAAACCAAACTTCATGTGTTAAGTTAGTAGAGTGGTCATTTAATAAATGGACAAAAAATAATAAGAACCTCAGGCTTGTGTTGCACGTGTTAAGACAATATTCAACATTCGAGAGGTTGCTTTTGCTAGATAAAAATTGTTTCTTTAATACCAAATATAAGTTTTTGTAAAGGCTTACTTATGCTGCCCTTATGTCCAAAAATAAATATGAATGTTTCAAACGACATAACCATCACGTTGCACATACTTCCATGAATTCTTTATGTTGGTATGGTTGTTAACCAACAAAATCACTAGAGGGCAGCGCAGAATCTAGAGTTTCTGACAACAAAATATAGAAGTTACATCATCAAGGCCTGTAGTTTCTTACCAACTCACAAAGTGTCTTCTCAAAAAGTTCTGCCATTGTTGAATCATCTGTCTTGTATCATACAGTCGTCTCCCTTAAACTACTGGATACACTGCCCCCTGATGATTTGCAGTGGTACTGCTCCATTTGAGCTGTTTCGTATGTAGCTTTCAGAAGTCGTGCACAAATACAAACGAAATGGACACAGAGTATGGAAGGAAGGCTCAGACTGTATATTTATCTAATGTCGAGCATAATTTAGCCTTATCAGTAGCGAATCAATCTAATGCTGTCATTATAGCCATGAGTATGACAGTAAATGTAACCATCACTTTCTCTGACAATAAGAGAGGGGTCCTATTTTTTTTTTTTTAAATGAATCATCATTTTATCTGAAGATGTAATACGTTCCACTATCATTTCATCATTTCATCTCATCTGTAACAAAAGGCACCAAGCTAAAATGGGTAACATACCGAGATTGTACCACACATCCATCTCTCCACTGAGAGTGCGAACCTCGATGATGGTCTGGCCCAGGAAATCATCTGATTCGCGCTTAAAGTGCTGCTTCACCCGTGATTTGATGTCATCGTCTTCGTCCCACACACGCACCTTGATGCGGTCAGTGGCGTTGTGACATTCGCTGCAAGTCGAGAGATGATTATGCCAGGTGAAAACAATCACAATAACATGAACAACACAAACAGCAACAGCATATTCAGCGCCAGCTCATAGGAGTGGGGTATTCAGTGGAGCAGCAAATGCACAATTCAAGAATCGGAGACATATATTTTGCCCCTTTTCTAAGTAACATATGGAGAAAATATCTTGCCTGGATTCAAATGAGGGAATGTGTGTATTAGTGTGCTCACATGGATGGGTATGCATGAATGGGTGTGCATATTTAGAATGGGATTGTGGAGAGGGGCTCTCTGGCTGGCAGGAAGAATTTCCTCAAGACATTGCATAACCTTTACCGTGGACCTTTGTATTTATATTCTTTCCAAATGCATGCTTAGCTCATCAGGGAAGGGATTTCTTATTTGTGAAAGCCTTATATCTCTTTGGCCCTCCTTACATCAGTGCAGATGCGGGCGGCCATTTCACATGACACTGCTAAACAGAACAGAGGTGGCCACAGCACTTAGCTTTAGATGGGGTCAGACTGTTCGGCTCTGGAATTAAAACCAACAGATTACATTTTGTTCTAATGACATCTTGGGTGCAACAGCCAGAGAAAGAGTATCTGCAGTATTTTTTTTTTTAACTAATCCCTTTCCAGGGTTAGCACTGGCTGCTGCTGCACAAGTCCGAGGCTTTGCTCTCTGCCAAGCACATAGTAATGTATCGCTCTATTAATCTACATCCCTGTAGTAATGGGAAAAAGTTTTATTATAGCCACTCTTGGAGTCTCATTACAGGTGTGGAGCCTAGTCTGTGGCTGCAATAGAACACAAACACAAACACGAAAAATCTCAGTAGTTCACACGTCAGTATGGGTTTTCTAAAATTATTAACAAAAACTAATATCAATAACTACTGAAGCATACAGTCAGGATCTAAATTTTGAGAGTCAAATGTTACATACAGTACATTAAAAATAAATTGTATTTTTACTATTTTCCGTTAACATTTCTAAGTAAAACAAAATCTTGAAAATATGTACAGCTTATTCTATGGATATCAGCTAAAAATCTCAGTTCTTGCATGAATAAAAAAATGCCATTAAGCTGCTCTCTCTTTGGGTTAAGTCAACATGACGAGCCCTCACTGATCCTTTCCCCATTCACAGCAAGAGGATTACAGTTTAAAGAAAAGAAAGAAATGAATAAATAATGGAAGGGATCTTCTGGTGCCTTAGGGAACAAGACCTGGGTCAAATGTTCACATCATTTTAGCACTTTTTTTTGTGGTCCAAAAGAGCTGAAAATCTTAGAACCAATTTCTTCTCAAAGCTTTAACTATAAAGGTGCATATATTTCCATGTAGCACTCAAACTGTAGAAGAACAACCGCTCAATACTGAGTACTCATTTTTTTCTGCACTCAGGTCTGGGTTGAGCTTTACTTACATTTTCAATTTCTTTTTATTTTAGTCATAGCATGTGTTGCACAGCATTCTCAAAGGCTACATTTTATATTACTTTCTGCAAACATACTACAAACCTGATTATAATCATTCATTGCAATCTATTTGTTGGATAACGTACGGTTTCACAAGTGCCCAACAGTGTTATTTGCAGCTGTTTGAGGACAACATTTTATGCAGCGGGAGAACAAATAAACAAAAACTATGCACGCCTTTACTGACCAAGAAGAATACCTAAAAAAGGGGGCCATTCAACACAATAGAGAAGTCATGAGGCATTAGAAGTGCCTCTAAAGCACTTAAGTACAGATGGATTTATTTTGTTGTAAAAATAACAGGGCTAAGACTCTTTTTCTTGATGGACGCCATAATAAAGCCGTGTTTAGCTGGATCTCCAAAATCTGCGGAGTGCAGCTGGTGAGTAACACACCGTAACAGTTGTTATTTCCCAGAGCCATAAAAAAAAGAATTGTCTGAATGTATCTACTAATGCTTTGAGATTCCATGGTAGAGATCCAACTTAATCTTGGTGGGGACAATCTGGTTGTATAGAGGTCAAGTGAATAAAGAGCACTCACAAGTAGAACTTCTCATCCCACACTGGATTGAGGTTGCCAAAGATGGTCTTTGTCCTGCGCTTGGTCTTGCCCACCTGGACGGTGACGTAAGGGTCGCTGGAGCCAGTTTTATCCTTGGCCTGTAAGCCCTGTGCACTCATGACTGGAGACGAGACAGAGATGGAGAGAGAAGATTCATATTAAAGGCAAAATACCGGACAATTTTTATGTAAAAATTTGATTCAATACCTATATATATGTTGTCCTTTTCTTAATCATAACACAGTGGCCCACATTTTAATTCACTGTTTGGAAGTCAAAAATAGGAAGTGCTGGGCTTGGTGGGTGAGGTTTTACATCCGTTTCTCAATCCCAGTGAACAACCTACAACTATATTTTCATTTTTATATTAGCATTTATAAGTTACTTGCCTGAACTTTGTCTATTTACTTTGACTGTGTGTGGGATCCTCACAGATTCTAATTTAAAATTCAAGGCCCAGTCACTGCCTACAACAACTTTGTCTTCCTGCCAAACGCTGAGGCAACAAAGCAGCTCTTTGGTTCAATGACAAAAGCAGTTATTCAGCAGTTATTCATCGTTTTTGTATCTGCTAAGTATATTTATCTATTTCTATATCCTGGCTAAAGGTAGCAATCCACCCCCATGTATGTGCCCACTACTTTAGCATGTTCCTGCTGAGCTAAGACTTGGATTCAAATGAATCGGTGATTCAGGACCTTACTTCCACACAAAGAGAGGGAAAGGTGCAGAGATGGAGAGACAGTAGTATTTCACAGCGCCACAAAAGGGAAAAAGGACACTAGAGCATCAAATATGCATAAGTGACAGTCTAAATAATTCAGGGTACATATATATCCCTCAGCTCGATGCTGACAGGAGTTGGTGGGCAGGATGTAGAGGTTTCAAGAGCCATGGCCCGCCTGCTCCAGGAGTACTGAAAATCAAATGGCTCCTTTTGTAAACGAGGGGCCTAAGACACTGACATATGAATAAAGGGGTCAGTGTGCTTCAAACTAAGTGCTTGTAGGATCACCAAGCTGTGACTGAAGCCCCCTCCCCCACATCTGACATTTTATTCAAACCCTCCACAACTGTCCATCTAACAATCTGGCCTACTTCCTGTAGTGATTGACTATGTTCATTCTTTACATACTTACAGTACATGCATCACATTTACTGTGGAAAAAGAAGTGGAAAACCACAAATCACTATGAGGTAAGTTTTTGTGTAAGATATATTCCCCATTTGAGCAATAACTTATCCCTCTAATAACGGCTGTATTTTTACCCTGCTCTAAAGTACAGTTTAGTGTTCTTCCTTTATTAAATGTAACTGGATTTACGTTTTCGTTTCAAGCTATGTAACTAAGTTGTAGGTCATCACCTGAATGGTTAATCAAGCTTTTTGCTGTTAAATGAAAGAAAAGATGAATAACTTGCCAAGAGATTTTTTACCCAAACTAAATTAGTTATGATTGTCTTGTTCAAATAAAGACGAGAGTAACAAGAGGTTATATATAAATATTGGAAGATGATAAAAAATGTACTGATGCACTATACTTCCTCAATGCATGTTTGATAGTGAGGTGATTGGTGCATTTACAAGTACAATAGCAGAATTAATGATTAGCAGACTTTAAAATAGCTGATTATAGAATGCATAGTCTGCAGGTTGTTATTTATTGCCAAGCCTTCACATTCACCAGATACACGATGTCTCATGGTCGCTGTCAGAGCTAATGCCAGTTGGTCTTTATCGAACAAGTGATAAATAAAAAACAAATCAAAAGCTTCAGTCTAAAATGGGCCGCTCAATAAACCCCTGTGAAATTGTCCAAGGCAAAGCTGGATCTTTCGCACCATCACGTCTCTGTCTCCCAGGTTTCCCTCTTTCTACTTTTTCTTCTCTTCTTCTCAATCCAATCCAATGATTGTTCTCTCGCTCTCTATTTCACTCCCTTTCTCTCCTTTTCTTTATCTCTTGGGTACACTGACAGTGCAAGAAGTGGCAGACAATAAACCAGCAGGGCCTGGCACTGTTACCACAGAGATGGACTGGACTCCAGGTTTGAGGTTAGAGATTCAAGTTTCTGACCATTTTTGATTAGTCAGTTAACTACAGTCATTGCCATTAATTACTTAGACTGTGGCAGCCTGCCAAAGTCCGACTTATCCTGCCACTGTTTCATAATAACCCAGATTTCTTTTACACCTCTCACATGAGCATAAAAAGATCTGACTTAGTGTTTTTGCGCTGTTGCCGCTCTCTCTTTCTCTCTTTCACCGACAAACACATTGACCCATCTGTCATAGTTGGACTGGCCATTAGCAGTACCAAAAGTAATCCCAGTGCGTCAGTGGGTGGTAAAAACACCTATAAAGTTTTTATGGTGCTTGGGTGGCAGACAGAAGCCATCAGGTAGTTTCTGCTTTAGCTGTGCACATTCCCACAATGGACATTCAGTTCTCAGCAGGCAGAGCTCGGCTTTACACCTGCCCCCCCTCTGCACTTGCCCGTGTGCACATGAGGGCAATCTGTGTGTGTGTGGTGCAATCACAACACACCCTCATCGGCCTGCACACCCTTGCAGCTACCGCCACAGGCTGACTAATTACATTGTTCATATAAAAGGATCTACTTATTACTTGATGGAATTTACTGTGTATGTAAATTATGTAATTATGAGTCACCCACAGAAAAAAAACCAGGGAATACCTGATTGACTAAGATTGTGTCCCACATCCTGCTTCCCATGAGCCCACAGGTAAATGCCCAAATTGTTTACATCACTTAATGTGTAATATCAACTTCTACACAGTGTCTGTATAACAGATTAGCATGCTAGTGAGCTGTGAGACATTAACATCTCTGTCGGCTGCAGCAAGTTGTCTTCAACTATAATAAGACTCATCACAGCCTCTGTATTACAGACTCTGATGTGCTTTGTGTTTACTGTGCAACAGTCTAACATTTGTAAAGCATTATTGGAAACCCATATACACTCCCATTGCTCACCTTGTATCCTGTTTTCATTACAACTACTTCTCATGGACTGAGTTCCTATTTATATAATGTTTTATAAAAAAAATAACTAGGCTAGGTGGATGAGTAGACAGCAGATTAGCATAATAATTTGTGTTTTGAATTAAAAATGAATATGATGACCAATAAAGTCATTTATTACTGCCCTCACAACAGTGATTCAGCTGTAACCATCAAAGAAAAATCAACAAACTACTTTCAAAACCAACTAATCATTTTCTATTTCTAATTAAATGTGCATTGCTGTTTGAGGTTCCATGTCAGAGGTTAATGAGCACGAACTTGAGGTTAATAGCAAGTAAATACTAATTACAATAGCAGTGTTTATCATTTGAGATGAGCTTGACTTGTAATGACAGTTTTGCTTATTTGGTGTGAGAGGACTGAACAAAAGGTTAAAGGTCGTAATCCATAGGTCAAGGGTCACAGGAAGCAGTATTAAGCTAATACTAGGTACAAAATATTTGTCACTGTTTGGCTGATGGATTAATGCGAGTGAAGCTTATAAAAACAATGTAATATCCTTCATATCACACACACACACACATATATCTATAGATATATAGATATATATATACACACACTTAATTTAATCAAGCATTGCTCATTTTCTCTTCATGTAATTTTAATATTCTATATGAGCAATCCTATTTCACTGTATATTTATTCCATTTACATGTACATATTATTCTAACTTTAGCTGTTCCTTATGTTTATTTTAAATGTTTTGTTATTCATTATACTATATTATTATGTTTTACAGATGCTTCTATTTTACTTTCCCCTTTGCTACTGTAACATGGCAAATCTGCCCATTGTTGAAGTAATAAAGAATCATCTTATCGAATCTCATATTGTATTATTGAATCTTATCTTGTATTATCGAATCTTATCTTGTATTATCGAATCTTATCTAATCTTGTATTATCCAATCTTATCCAATCTTGTATTATCTAGTCTTATCAGGTTAACCTGTGATGCTGATTTTGGCAGACCACTTGGAGGTCCCGTCAAGCACAGCCTGCTTAGCCGTCTTCAGGTGGCTGACAACGTCCTCTTTGGAGACGTGGAACATCTCCTGGATCACCTCGAACACTTCAGGGCGGTTCTTCTCCCTTATCTTCATGCGCTCCTTCATAGCCATGATGATATTGTGGGTCTTGTCTTCCGCCCCATGCTTGGAGCTCTTCTCCACAGCCCCTGAAACAAGCAAATGGTGATAGAGTGTCTATGCGCACTGGTCTGCATATTTAATACAGAGTAACTGAAAGTGGTGATGCATCGCATTGGCAGGGCATTGATTGTGTGATCCATCACATGTCTTACACTTTCATTATTTAAATAAAGATTATTCTATACAGTGTTAAAGCATCCAGCATAAAATCAAATCTAACGTGCATCAGTGTGACTTTACAAGCTGACTGTGTGTAACATGCATTAATTTTAGTATGTGTGCGTCTTTATTCATGTGAATGTCTCTACAAGACAGGCGTGAAGCTTAATTCTCTTTATCTGTGTCATGTATCTGCAGTGCCAAGTGTTCAGAAAATTATATAGATGTATGGCAGTTTGAACTGTTCTACTTGTGTGAAACTGATATAATAACACAGACTTTTATAAGAGCCAGGGTGTAGCTAATCCACTTAGGGTGTGTGAGAATTGCTGTGGGGGGGGACCATCCTGAAGCCTGCATGTCCATTGTTCCTAATATTGTACATGGTAACAGTGCTTGATTGAAAAAGCTGATTAGAGCCTGTAATGAATGCAAGTGACTGGACTGAGGGAAATAAACGCACCATGTCACTTGTAGCAATGAGTGTAGGGGAAGGGGGAGATGTATTACACACATCCCCATAACAACATCCATGTGTACTGAGGGCTGTACAGTATAGAGCTGGTATTTAATGATTCAGAAACATCAAGGGAAGAAAAAACTACAGTATATATATATAGATGAAGTTCCACACAAGCACTGTGCACTTTACATTTCCCAGACCAACCATATGGTTTTAGACTCAATCGAACTTGATGTATCAATTAATTATTCAAAAATAATCAATTGTAACAATCAAATTTACATTAAGCATGAGACAGAAATCGATGCTTGCTCTCTTACAGTCTTGGTCTCTGTGTGTCTCTCTCACTCACACTCACACACACAATGTTTTGAACTTTATCAGCCAGTGCCTCTTAGTGTTGATGAGCACATCAATCTATTTCCTTACTTTGTAAACAATCTGCATTGAGCAGGTCCTGGCACTTCTCGTGGCATTTAACGCCACACTCTGAGCAGCGCATGCCCTGACGGGCGATGCCCCACAACAGTCCCTCACACTCATGGCAGTAGGTGGGTGCAGTCGCCGTCCACACCTCAAAGTTATGGGGTGTTGTGGATGAAATTGGGTAGATCAGGGCCTGGAGAGTCTTCTTGAAGACATGTAGTTTCTGAAGAGAAAGAGAAGACAACGATGAAAAGGATGTAGGGATGAGGTAAACCATATAGGTGCAGCTAATGTTGTGAGACTTTCATGGCACGGTGAGATGGAGAAACGTTCAGTGCTGATCTCAACCTGCTGAGGGACAACTATGGCCCTCGTAATAACACAAAGCTTGAGTCACAGTTTACACAAAAACAGCCTAAGATTGATCTGCAATCAGAGCAGCATGATATGTATGATGCATGTCTGCATTAATCTTAACAATTATATAACTTGTCTACAAATTGCAGCTATCATTGATCAGTGCAGCAGCATTATTCAAGCTTCTCTCTTCTTTCTGGGGACAGATTTTATTATTCCTCAGAGATAACACATAGGAGGCTATGTTGATCCATTCCTAACTACCTTATCGTCAACAGAGAGAGTAAATCAGACTTACATCTCATTAAGCTTAGATTAACAGCATCCTTAAAGGCACAGGCTTTATTCCCATTGAGTGGTTTACTGACAAAAACTCCTCCAGACCAAAATACTAAAGTCTACTAGGGGCCTGTCTCGACTGATTGCTGTGTAAGAGACGGCCTTTTCAAATTGAATTCTTTACTGCCACAGCCCTTCCATCCACAAGGACAGGAAAAAGGACCGGGAGTTGCCAATTCTTGGAGGCAGAATCAATGGATGCTGTAAATAAGGTTTTAAAAGTGAGCATTATCTAGATTGAGAGAGCGAGAGAGCAAGCGAGAAAGAAAGTGACAGAGAAAGAGAAGGAGATGTATGGCGGCTAAATAAATCTTCAAGAGGCACTTGCTCTCCTCTCCTCACCCCTTCTCCACTGCCCTTCCCCCGGTTGTCAGCTTCCAGTGTGTTGACAATGTGCTTTAACACCTGAACAGTAGCCCTGCACTTTACCGGTAAGACTTCAGTGCTGCCCACTCAGAAATGCAGAGACACACAAACACACACACTCTTGCAGAGATGATTAAAAGGCAGCAGATGACAGGACAACAGGGCTATCTAACATTGTAAGACTTTGCTGATGCAACTGAGAGGCAGCAGAACGCTGGAGGACCTTTAATAAAACACAGAGAGAGGCAGAGAGATTTCTCGTTTAATCTGAGGACGATGAGATGAAGCAGATGTCGAAGATTTAGCCACAACTACATTAGTGTCATGACTGGAAGCCTTCTACTCACCAAACCTAATACTTAACTGTCTAATTCTGACACAGCCTGCAGGAGATTAAGGGTGTAACTCATTTTCCATGTTGGAATTCTTTGACCAATATTTAAATGGTTATTTCATTGACACATCTATTTCTGTTCTATGAAACTTCCCACCTTCCTCCTCTCTCCCTCTCCATCTCCACATTCTCAGTCCTGACACCATATGTCACACAGCTCAGCAGATTTAGGGAGAGTGCAGCATGTGTGAGTCTCATGTGTTACACTGCGAGGTAACCCTGGTGATTTTGTGCAAGACACTGCTAGAAGTGATTGACAGCTGCAGTTTCCGCCTGAGACCAACATGACAGAGAAGAATGTAATCTCTCCTCCGCCTTTCCAGTTTCCCCACCTCCTGTCAGCTCCTTCACTGGCACTGACATCCTCCTCATCCTCAAAGTTTTTAAATTAACCAATAACCAATGTACATTTTCAGCAACAAATCCATATGTTTTGTCTTGTTTTTTTGTTAAACCACATGATGGAAGTATCACAATAAGACCATTTCCAGAAATCTTTTCTGTCTGGCAAATTAAAAAAATTACCCAAACTAGAATGGCACTCAGTAATAAATATTTCTTCAGCTGCCCCCTGGTTTGGATCTGCACCAAAATCTAATGGTTTCTTACCACATCCTTTCACCAAGTTTCGTGGGAATCCATCTGGATTTTGACTGTCAGGGATGCAAACATAAACTCCATGGTGGATGTATTTTGATTTAAAGCACAGGCAAGCCTTGTAAAACCAGTAATATATTCTGCTGCTGAGAACCAGTCTGATATGTTACGTTACTTGTGTATCACATGGGGCTTGACAATATGGAAAAATTATAATTAAGAGGAACATTTTCAGTCAATATCAATAGCAGAGAATGACAAACACTTTAATATTTTATAAATCTGAAGTAGATCATCTATCCTCACTGTACTTACGTACTGCATAAGCGTTATATCGATATAAATTGAACTCTTAATATAATGCTATTGATACAAATTACATTGCAATAATAATTGATATTGTTTTATTGCCCAGCAGCAGCAACACATCACATTTTATTTCCAAACAGTCCTTGACCTGTTTCAGATCCTGGCTTTGTTCTTCCTCAGTACAAGTGAGACCCAGCTTCTGCCTCAGCAGGTAAATATGGCCCCAGTTGCTGTTTGCAGTCACAGTTAAAAGTCTGTGTTGCTCAGATCACATGCAGCTCTGAACACTGAGCGGACACGCAGGCCGTTAGTCTGCCCACACATAATGTTCCTTTCTGCTCTAAAAAACAGATACATGGGAAACATGACGCAGAAGGAGAGAGAGACATCATCAGGAGGTCTATAGGTCGGCAATGACAGAGCAAGTCATTTCAATCAAATGAAAATGTGTTAAGCTGAAAGAAGTAAAAACCAACAGGAGAGTGCTAATGGAAGCTAAGGTGAAGACAGAGACTGGACAAAAAGAGGAAACAAGAAGGAAGCAATCTAAATAGATTCAAACATCTCTCAAGGGACCAGAGGGCGGATTGTTCAACATGGCTGCCTGATCAGGGACATCAGGGCCAGGGGGTCATGGTGACAAGTCACTCTCTGCTCTGATCTTCTCTGATTCAATGCTCATCTCCTTCCTTTTTCTCACAGTCCTTTTCTTATTCCTTTCTGCTCTCCTCGCCTGGATCCTTCTCTACTCTTAAACCGCATATGTTCCTTCACAAGTGCTTTCGCAGTCCTCACAGGGAAGCACTCTCTTGGACTTAATGCAGCAGATAAAACTCTGACATCTGCTCGTCCTACTTAACAAGACTACACAATCTGCATTTGTTCTGAACTCAGCCCCCCTTAGCCAACAATTATCAAACTCTTCCCTCTTTGTTCCTAATCAGAACATCGGACATCTATCCCTAAAGTTCAAGCCTTACTGACCACTGTAGCCCAAGAATCTGCTCCCTTCATACACCAATCAACACAATGCTTCTATCACATCATTTCCCCCTCAACGCCAACATGAGCTGTTCATCCCTAAAGCTTCTTTAATCAAATCCAGCTATTAGTACGCAATCAAGACCCTCTCACTTTAGGGCAACTGTCCATGTGCACCATGAGCACCAAGTCAAGAGAAAGAGAAAGCCAAGTGATATGAAAATGTACACGAATAGGTGCACACAAATTCAGGGCCATGTCTCTTGTCTGTCATATTTGTGCATTGTTTACACAGAATTGTGTACAATTAAACTCAGTGTTACAAACAGGTGGATATGAAATTGTTTACTTGTTTGACTTGCTGAAAAAATCTTTATCCTCCATTTTCCCCCTAGAAGAGTAGTCTTGCGATCAATTAAAGCAGAGCAAGGTTTGGAGGTCAACACTTAAGGAGGAGGAACAGTAATGGAAAACTGAACTCAACTAAGAGAGATAGAAGTATGAATCAAGTTTCTTGTGCTAGTTCCTTCTCAAAATATAACCAGACCCTCAGTCAGTGACTGTAGACTGTGTGTATGTATCTATGTGAACCGTGAGCTGGCTGAGTTCAGAGCAGCTCCTTTCTGAACACAGAGCTCTGCCAACAGCTTGGAAGCTGAAACCTGAAAGGTAAATGTATCCATCCATCATTCTCCTGTTTCGTTTGGCAAGAGTTCTAAAAGATTCTTCATGTCTAAGATATTTTGTTATTGATTTCTCAATTCTCTGGCTCAAGATCATCATTTATTAATATTTGTATTAAGCTAAAACTCCTTCATTCCCAAAACAACTTGTGAGACAATACTCCATCTCTGAATTCAGCCAAATGATCACAGTACCTCAGTAGAAACAATGACTAGACAGCTACAGAGACCATATTAATAAAGGGTTATTATAGACAGAGAGACAGGCAGACAGACAAATGCTGAAACTGTGTGTACATCTAAAGAAATAAGGCCACCAACTAATGCAGTCCATCTCATTTTCATTCCTGGCAACATGCTCCTGAGCCCCGAAGTACTATGGCCACAGAAAAACAAAGCTGCAATAAAAATCTGTCACAGCTCCAGCAACCTCTTCTCTGAACACCTCCCTAACATATAATGAGAACATTGGTCTTGCAGCCCATGTCCCTGAAGAACCCTCCATTATCCTGTAAGACTTGATAATAGCCAGTAGCTGATTTTCATACAAGCAATGCGAGGATGTTAGTACTCACCAGGTCCTCATTATTCAGGGTGGACCGGTTCACCAGAGCGAACGAGATGCCTGCCTTTCGAGCAGTGAGGGTCTGAGGGACAGAGAAGATGATGAAAAGGAATTAATTCACCGAGCATTTACTTTTCTGCGCTTTTCTGCAATTTTCATCGGAATGAATGTACACATATAGAACACACATCTCTGTGGAGTTAAATAGCTCGTGAACGGGTGATCAAAGTGCACAGAGAAAGTGAGCTTACCAAAGCCTGTGATTTCCAGGAGGCCGTGAACAGAGGATGAAAGAATAGAGACATTTAATTAGCCAAGGAGTGGGAGGGCGAAGGTAATGCACAAACAGCAGACGAATTTGTGGTATTTATTTTCCATACTGAGCGCATGGGTGTCTCAACTGCCATGCAGGACTGCTGGTTATGGCATAGAGCTCTAGATAGATTCAGCTATTCATCAAGAGAGGTTATACAGCCGTTGCATGATTCTTTATCCACTCATGCATTGGAGGTTGCTAAACTGCAGTCATGCTTGGCATTTATATTCACTTCTCTATTGGATGAAGCTTTGACCATATTTTCTGCTGTCTGCTCTGCACATTAGTTTGACACATACAGAAATACAAGACACACACACACACACACACACACACACACACACACTCATTTATGGGTGAAGCCAGCTGTACTGCACAACACAGACTCACACTCACACACTGTGAAGAATAAAAAAAACAAAAGACACACACACATCTGCCCAAACATCCAATAACCTACTGAAACATGTGTAGTACACACCCACACAAACACAAACAGGTAACACACAAGTACAGACGCACAGATACACAAAGGTAAATTAGCCGTTATAAAAAAATCCATTGAGTCTGGGTGACCAGAAATTGATCAACATGTATCCCATACTGAAGGAAGTTACGTAACAGAGGAATGCAGACATGGACAGCTGACAATATTGGATCAGTCTTTACCACGACCCTCTTGTCTGTACAGCCCAGCTATGGTAAAGATCCATGGAAGCCATGGAGAATGTAGGAGGAAACGTGACCTCTACATGAACTGTGAGTGTTGATGTAAGTTTATCAACATGCACCAGCACTGCTGAGGTTGCTGCGGGCAATACAATATGACCCTCTGTCCAGATATTATCTATTCAGCTACTATATAGCGTTCAGTGCCTTGTGAATTGATTTTCAACTTCCTGTTTTAGTTTTTTTTGTTTTCACATCCCACCATAATATGGGGGAACCCTGCTGTCCGTTCCAATCAAACGCTGGTGCTGCCCTGTAGCAATCGCACAGCAAATGTGGGACATTGACAAAGGAGAGGCATGAAAGGGGACCAATTTGTTTGCTGACTAGTGACTTCATCCCAGGTGTAAAAGGCTTGCTCAGTGTCACTTTTACATGATTTAAAAGCCTCACACAGTTAAATCAGAAGTCAATGAAGTCTCTCGGATATATTTTTGGGTTGAGTTGTCAACATTTCAAGTTGCAAATTTTTCGACACCTGCCGAGCAACAAGAAAGAGAGAGAAAAATAGCCAAGCATCGGCGAGGGTGAAATCTGACAACTCACTGAAAAATATCACCCATAGCTGTTATGGGTCTATGTAGGGATGGCAAATATACACGCAAAATCCAAATAAATTGAAAATTAAAAACGACATCCCATACTTACCAAGACATTGTTGGTTATTAATTTCATGAGAGATATGGACAAATACAGCATCAACTCATGTTGTTCACTGTGGTATAAACATTCATCAGCATCTATGTGTATGACATCAAGCTGCATTATAAATTTGCTTAAACTGCTATTTGCATTATTTACAGTAAACTCTGAATCAACAGCTGAAGGTTTGCTTTTAAGAGACTTAAATTAGAGTGTGATTATATTTCTGTTGTTTTGGCTGAAACATACGAAAATGAGAAACAAACAAACACAAGACAGACAGACTCTGTGCAGAACATAATAGACAAACAGTTATATACAGACACAAATGCTAACTGGTCTCACAACAGCCTGTTTTCTATCAGAAAGACTGAACACGTTGTACAGTGCTCAAGCGGGCTGCACTGTAACAGGCCTCTCTGTGGAATATGTTACAACACATTATGTCACAGTAAAAACAAATGGAGAAGCATCACTGTGATGCAATGGCTTAAACACTCTCCCTAAGGTAATTAATCAAGCCATAGTGTTATGGCTAAGGTTATATTTAACATTCCCACTAGACAGTGCTCTACACTAAAATGCAAGAGATTTACAAGGTTGCTTTAATCGCCAATATACTTCTTATTGGCTTAATTTTATCACAACTTTTTAAAATCTATCTAATTTGCATAGCAGGTCTACATATGTGAGGTGAGTATCTGAAATCATCTCTATCATGTGCTGAACCAAACATGGTCATAATTCAAAATGCCAAAGAAAATAAAGCCCAGAGAATATTAGGGTCCTGAGGAAATTATGATAAGAAACAAACACTGTCGCTCTTCATCACATTATATCAGGTTACCAATTAAGTTAATTGTTTGCAGCAAGGGTTCATACTCACACTGTGTGGTTTAATTTGGGGTCACTGAGATAGAGTTGACATAAATCACACATAACCTTGTTGAGGCAGATGACTCACCAGGTCTCGGACAAGCGGCACTGTCCTCTTGCGACGTAAATCAGGCATGCTGTCAATACCATAAAGAATACTGCCAGCCCTGGAGAAGCAGACAGATTTAAGGTGTATTAATAACATAATAATGCCACACTGGGGGAGACATTACTACAGTGAAGGGGGGGGGGGGGGGGTCTTGATTTACACAGCTGGAAAACACAATGGATCATGGCTCCTACCTAACCTGTCTCACCCCCTCCTCTTGACATCATGGTTCTGACCATCTACACTGGAGCTCCTTGTAATCCCTGTGAACCTCTGTTGTTCCTTCAGGCTCCCCCTCATCCATGTTATCTCAATTTGCACGGGCATTGCTGCAGACATGCTTTTACAGATACATATTAAACCTATTGGATTATACACACTATGAATGCAGAAGATAGTAATCTTCATGTTAGTCAAGGCCAACTGCAGCAAAATCTATGCAAATCCATGCATCGGAAAAAGTTATTTTAAGATGAAATTTCCTCGGTCTTCGCAACACTTCTGGATGTCTTGCACTCTCCATCTTCCAACTGCGATGTGCACAATCCCCCACTTCTTTCCTACCAGTCCTTCTCTTTTCTTGTGAAGCTCTAGGTGCCATCACCTAAACTGTCAATCAAAGCCTCTCTAATGACCTCAACATGACATCGAGGACCCAATGGCTCCACACAGATAAAGCTGCTCAAGCTCTCCTGTCAGCTGTCTCAGTGACATCACTGGTATGACCCTAAAGATACACAACAGGAAGAGCTGCACAGGCCCCCGGCCGCCTGCCTCCCGCTGCATTTATGCACAGTGCACGCTGCAGATGGCTGCATGAGCTGGGGTAAATATATATATTAGCCATTCTTAAAGGTCCAGTGTGTAAGATTTAGGTGAAAGGGAACTATTGGCAGATATTTAATGTAGAATAATCCTCATGATGTTTTCACTAGTTTGTTTCATCTAAATTGTATGAATTGTAGTTTTCTTTACCACAGAAAAGACCCTTTATATTTAAATACTTTATATTTACATGGAGGGGAACTTCTCTACGGAGGCCGCCAAGTTTTTTACATTAGTCCAGACTGAACAAGCTAAACACCTTTTGAGTTTTTATGACAACTGAAGTTCACCACAGGTTCTTTTTCATGTTTGGAAGGGGAGGGTGAGGTGAGGGGTGTTCAGCTGCAACATGAAATTCTAACACTAGATATCACAAAATTCTACACACTGTACCTTTAACCCTCATGACCTATGACAACAGCTGGCTTCATCACTGATCCCAAATCACAATCACTTAATTAACCATTTGTAAACAATCATATATGTGAAGCCAAGGGGATAAGTTCCTTTACAGATGTCATGGAGGCATCAGGCATCTTGTATATCAACCTTCTCTCTGTGTTAGGTCACAAAAACAGGGAGCATCATATCCCCAATTGAGGCTGCATGTCAGACAGTCAGTGTGTTTGCAACTTGTCTGCAACATGTGCCACAGCATAGGGGCACACAACAGCAGCTCAGATTTGTGTAATTGCAAACTGATCAGATCAGTTTGTGAGCCACCACTCACCCTCCAGTCTGCAAGCCGAGCACTTTGGGATCCAAAAGACTGCGAGGCTGTGGAGAGAGAGATCACTTAATGTAAGACAAGAAATACGAGGTGAGTGCACACAACTAAACACAAAGCACTCAGACGTTCTTTTAAACAACAAAAATACAGTGCAACAAAATGTACTTGGGGAAAATACAGTACATTTGGAGGTCAACTCAGGATAAGATAAATGATAGGCGAGAAGAATTGCAGCACAGGGAGAAGGGATGGAAGCACCACAGGCAAAAGACCAAATTATTCCACATCAATGTAATTTGTGGGCTCAAGACTGAGAGTTTTGCCGCTCTTGGTGCTTCAGGCCAGATTTGCCTATTGTGTAATGCTCCCTCCTCACCGGCCAAATTGTCCAGTTAGAAACACAAATCATTTTCTGAAAAGAGACTGATAAAAGGACAACCAGCACAAAGTGACAGCAACATGACTCAAAGGCCCATGCTACATTCTCTTTATGACTTATATCTATTTATTTACAGAGAAAGACACACACTCTCACAGTACAGGTGGATATGACAAGAACGCACAATCACAAATACAAAAAAAAACCATATGCACATGCGATGAAATCAAAAGTTACTGGGTGGTTATGATAACTGATAAACAATGACTTAAAACCTGAGTATCCAAAGCACTGGCGTCTGGAAGGAGAAAATGACAGGAGGGTGCAGAGTTAGAAAAGAGCAGCTCACCAGAAAACACAGACATTATGGGCTCTCTGGACTCTAATCTACTATTACTGCCTTTTGACAACAATTTATGCAGAAATGGAGACACAGTCAACATGTGCCTCAGGGAGGAAGGCACAGGAACGCAGTACACACAGTAGAACCAGTAAGCTCTGTTATACAGTAAAGGATGAAATATGAAGATCATTCTTTAAACCAGTGCAGCACAAATAAAAAAAATGCCTTTGATCGATAACATTACCTATGTTAGCTATGGAGACACGGGACATTAGGAAAGTGTAAGCGCTTAGAATCATTTTGCCATTTTGGAGATGAACTGCGAAATGGACAACCCTCTGCATATGCAAGACTGCAGCGGTGCAATTACTGTGCTATTGACCCATGTGTGATAAATGACGACATAACCATGATCTAATGTGCTACAAACAGAGAACAGCTGTTCACAAGAGAAAGATCAAATTGCTCATCTGATTAAACTGACATGAAACACAGTTAACATGCAGGTAGTTTAACACCAACAATATGATTTATAACCTTTTTTTTAGTTTACCTGGAAGTTGACAGAAAAATCATATAAAAATAAATTGATAATCATTAAATAGCAATAACTCTGGTGCTGCACATGTATTGAGAACGAAGTACAGAGTATTTGGTGGATGCTATTACACAAAGTGCTTTATACAGCCATTAGTGCTCACCACAAGCACACATCTTTTCATGATGAGTGGTCCTTGTGGAGGCACTGATATTTTAAAAACATTAAAAATGCATTCAAGTCAACATAAAAACAATTTGATTGTATATCTTTGTAAGTGCTATTCGAAGCCAGCTGGATTCTTGAATATGTTTCACCTCTCATGTAAAAAGCCTCTTCAGTTTGTATTGCCTAGGACTCCACCAGTCAATGAAGAGGCTGTTTAAATGAGAGTTGAAATGTCATCAAGTAAGGCTGGATGATGTGACAAAACATTATATAAAGATACAAATATAGATTTCAGTCAATACTGATAATTACCCTGATAAATTATTTCAAAATGTAAGGGCTGATCTTTGCTCCCGGATGGAGGTTATAGTTTTAAATTCTTCTTTATGAGCAGAGAATGTAAACAATGACCTAGATCAATGTGTTATACCTCCTCACTGTGCTTACATAATACATAAGCAATGTATTGATATAGACTGAATCTTTGTTATATTTCTATCTACAAGATTCATGTTGCTATATTTAATGATATTGTTTTATTGCCAAGCAACTATCGTCAGAATTCTCAAGCAGGTCTGGTCGCTTTATAAACCACTTTAACAATAAACCACATAAACCAACGAATCATACTTAAATACTCTGTGAAACTCCACATACAATTAAGTTGAATACATTCTTTAAAACATTTAGATTTTTGTAAAGACACGACATTGGTATATCTGTGAAAATATATTAAAATGGGTGAGGGGACACCAAGAGCTCCACACACACACTGAGATCCAGCACTCAGCGAGGAGCTAAGCTCAGAGTGGGTATGGACAGCCATCAGCTAAGCTACTTTCAGCACGGCTTTACAAGATAGAGCCATCTCCTCCACTAGCAAGCCCACACAGATAGGCTACAGCGTACTGATATAAACCTCATTCCACACCTGCCTTATATGAGTAGCACAAAAATATAATCGATAGGTAGAAAAGCTCTGCGAGTGCGTGCAGTCAAAAAGTATCAAGGCAGCAACAGCAGCAGTAAATCCTGAAGTTCAGTGCCGACACACATGGTCACACCGTGCATAGATCAGAGCTCACTGAGGCAGAAAAGCCTGCACGTGGCTGATAGTACAAACACGACTGACCCCTCCTCCAACAGCCACATCTAAACACATTCACAGATGCAGACCAGGGTTTGAATATAAGTCAGTCAAAGTTATAAAAAACAAGAAACATTTTCCTCTAGTATCTATTATGTTTTTACTGCAGACGATTGGCCCTCCCTACTCAAGGGGTACACAGCAGGGAGCACCAGACGAACGCAGAAATGGTGACTATGACTATGGGGTACAGGTCAAAATTACCACCAGTTTGTGCAGAGGTGACATGTGATCTGTCACACTGGTCCACAGTGTCAGCAAGACACCACAACAAAGCACAGGCTGCAGACCTCACAGAGACAGAGCGACATCCTCCAGACAGAGCGACAACATCCTAATGCTCACTGCCAACTGACAAGCAAACCTCTGGCCACCACACATGTGAACATCTCAACTGTCCATGTCAGTCTTGAAGTACAAGTCACACTATGAGACAAAGGTCACCACAACAAGAAAAAAGACATATCAATATCTCAACTCTCACACCAACTATAACTTGAGTTGGAATTTAGAATCTTGAGTCAAACATAGAGTAATATGCAAACATTTTTAAGGACATACAGTATTTTATTTCTGTCCTGGGCTCAAGACAGACTGCATCTACTCTTTGAGGCTTCATCGCCTGAAGAGATTTGAAATGTTATATCATTCATTTATTCATCATTTAGCAAAGACACAGTTTGCAATAGAAATGTTATAGACAGCATCTCTGATCACAGATATATTCGATTTAACACCTATTCCTTTCTTAAAAACATTCGGATTTTGATTTATATTTATCTCAGGTCATTTAAAATACATTTTCAGAATTTTCCGGTACAGTGATAAAAAAGTTAGTCTGCAGGCCAGTTTCTATCCCTGCTGACTGACAAACAGCACTTTAGCTCAATATTCATAACATGTATTATATTTATAAAAGTTTGCCTTAGGACAGCATGAAAGATGAGGTGAATAAACACGGACGACAAAATGTCTTGTGTGGGTGGTATGGAAGACTGACCTCACCAGATGAACCTGGTGTCGGGTTAATGTAGTTTTACCGTTTACGACAGCCCATATTTCCAGTTGGTGTCAGGAAAGGATTATGAGTTCATTGTTGCTATAAAACTAGGATTCAAAGATTTATTCTTCAGACTCAACAAAAAACATTTTTTTAACTCCTGGGCTGAAGTCACATAGTTGTATTTGCCTAAAGTTGACAAAAATACTACTTTTAACTTTACTCATAGTCTGGGCTGGTGTTTCTTAATCAAACCTGTGGGCAGATCTAGATTTACAATGTAATCTATTATTTAACTGTGTAACTAATTACTCTGTAATCATTTACTTCCATTATATTTTGACATTATATGGCTGAAAAAGAAAGACGTACGTCATTTCAGATAACATTTCAATAACCTCACAACTAAGATACATGATATAGTTCACACTGGCTCGTTGTGATGGTTTCCTGATTCACATGGGTAGGACAGGGTCACCACTGTCTAGCGTGAAACATCTCTATTCAATGGTGTCATCGTTAGTTACGTTGCTTTTCATGAGAATTATATCCATAGTAACAATCTTCAGTGTAAAGTCACTTTTATAAAACCAGAGTGATTAAAGTAGTAGAGAGTGTCAACATCAGGAGGAGGGACCCTCACCTCGTATCAAATTCTGCAGTGATCCCGCGCTCTCTTGCTTCATTGCGGGGCAGAGACAATATTGTGAATTTCTTGCTGTGTCCTTCAATGTTTACATATCTTGTGTCATATCAGCGATCCGCTCTGAGACTGTTCTTCAGTTCAAACTGACACATAAGAACAATTTTACTTCTTCAGGTAAATCTAACGGTTTCAGCCTCTTAGTAATTAGCTACTAGCTCACTCACCACAAAACCCTCCTGCCGGATGTTGTCTCTGTCAGAAAGCTGTCTAAAGAAAGGTGCCTGTTGGACACATAAACTTTATCCTGACACGTTTGTCCTAGGATCTTGCACGACATTGCACATCCACTCTCCTCCTCACGGCCGCCATGATGCTCGTTAGTGATGATGACACAAACACCTGCGTGGGTTACCTGACAGGCTAACACCAGGGGGAGGGGACCACGCTGAAGAACACGTCAGTCTATTGTGTTATATTCGTCTACCACAGACAAAAAGAATTGCTTGTCATGGAATCACATTTTTCGTTTTTGCTTTTGTATTAATGATTATCAACCATAAGGCCGTCCATAGTCTCACACTATGAGCAAATTAAAGCCAAGATGACTTGATACTTATAAAGGTTGCTATGAACACACTGAAATACAATCTTTGTGTTACAGGACTGTGTGCTGCCCCTCTTTGGCAGAACCACTGGCTGCAGCAAACTAGCATGTCTCAGCCTAGCAACACCACTGGACCCTTACTTCACTCTGAGTAAGTCCAGACAACAAGCAAGCACATTTAAAACGTTTGATAAAGTCTTCATCGTAACCGTATGGGATTTTTTTAAATGTTATCAATCACCTATTCTTTTTTAGTTTTCTGTGGTGTCATTTAGCATCTTTTGAGAATGATAAATTATTAATGTGCTGTTTGACAAGTCTTCTGAACAACTGGATTTTATTGTCTATAATGTATCCATGTACTTATTTGTTTATTTGATCTGCTGGATTTTCATATCTACACCATTTATGGTTATTTGTTATTTATTCATAATTTTAGGGGGTGTTCAGTTATTTGACAGAGAAAAGATTCACATTTGTAGAACTACTTATGGAACTGGATATTGTGTTAATTCTTTTACAATACAAAATCTCCAATCAAATTGAAATCACATATGAAGGTCATCCCAAAACATTTCATGCTATTATATATTAGCGAGGGCCCCACAGTGGTGCGATGATTAGTCCCTCCCACCAAAGACACATCATATACAGATTGTCGTTAGGTTAATCAGAGACTCTGAATAAACCATATGTGTGAATGTGAGTGTGAAATGTTGTCTGTCGCTGTATGCTGGCCCTGCGATGCTGGCAATCTGTCCAGTGTGTACCCCACCTTTCGCCAAAGTCAGCTGGGATTGGCTCCAGCTCCCCCTATGACCCTCAACGAACACGGGCATTAATAATGGATGGATGGATATCTTAGCCAATTACAATTTGCATCTTTAATAACCTACCTAGGACAAAACAAATCATGACACAATAAGTCTGTAGAGAGGTTGAAGCCCACCAGGCTTGGACTTAATGAAATGTTATAGCTCAAAATGAGATATGAATTTCCCTAATGCCTGTGCCACCAGTCTGTTCACTGATGAACAGACAAATTAAACAGACAAAGTAAAAACTGTGCTTTGATCAGAATTATTAAGAATGTGTCCAAGTGCAAGTTTAGGGGGAAATTACAAGCTTAAAGATAGAATGATTTAGCAACACTGTAATTAAAGGCCCTCTTTGGGCCTTGTGTCAACATCAGTCTCATGTGATCTGACCACAGGTCTGAGTACCTCAGTTCACACCTGCCATTAGAATTCATCTCCCCACTGTGACCTCTTGTGACTCACTGGGACCTATTGTGATTGGTCTGCTCTATATTCAAATAAACAAGGATATGATTTCTGTTTTAAAAGACCAAATTATGTTGTTTTTAGCCATACCGAAAGGGACTGATGTACGTTTGGGTGTGTGTGGTTGTGCAGCTGTACAAATAATTTTAATTTAATATGAAAGAAAATCAACAATATGTCGAAGTCAAAGCTGATATTCTGGAGCCACAATTAAATACTATGGGAAAGACCAAGTATAAAAATACTTTGTCCTTTAATGTGGCCCATGATTAATTTGCATCTTAGAGCATACCACCTGATTGGATCACCTCAGATTGATGTTAATGCTATGTCTGAACAGGGCAAAAATAGTACTGCAGTTTTTATGTGTCAAATCTGAAACCTGGCGGTACAGTTATCTGTAGCGTAGCTCCTCTGGGTTGTATAAAGCATAAACTGTGGAAAAAAGGATTTCCCTGTTTACAACAATTGGATGAAAACAACTGTATTGAATCAGTCAGTGCTTTGAATTGGATGATTTCACTTGAAACAATAAAGATCTTTCATTCCCTGCATTTGCATTTTCATATCCACGCTTTCTCTGGAAATGTTGCACTAAGCATAAAGAGGATCTACCTCCTTTGCCTCCCCAGGAGAAAACAGCAAACTTCACTAGCAGCAGACCTCTATAAATATTCCAAGCAAGGCTGACCTGGTTACAGAATGCCCTTGGGAGTGTGAATTAGCATCTGAATACAGACGCTGCTGTAGCAAGTAGAAGAAAGGCCTGGCAAAAGTGGCAGCACTGCTGAGACTCCCTCCACAGCTACCACCCAGACTAGCCAGCATGCTCAAGAGCATGAGCATGGTGAGCACACATCAGCAACCAAGGCACAAAACTAATTTGCTCTGGAAACCATTGGTTTATGCATAAATAATGTTGTGTCCAACCTACCTTAAGATTAAAATTGTAAGTTAACTCGATATGATGAATTGAAGAATAAAATGTAAACATTCAGACTTTGTAATTAAAATAAACTTTTATCAAATAGTTTAAAAACACATTTAAAACTAATTTGTAATTAAATTATTTAGTCAATTCAACAGTTCTGTATAAGTCTACAGTTGTCTTAAATTGCGAAACTGTCTTCCCAAAAATAATTTCTGATGCTTCTATAAAGTCTTTCAGAGCAATTGTAAGACACTGTCTAAACCTCATGCAGGTTTACATAACTTAGGTGATATTTCATGGAATGCTTGAAACAGGGCTGACTCCCCTTGATGTCACTTAGAACTGACCATGTTTTATGCAGTTAAACCAGTGATTTATGACAGCATTTTGGATGATGGTGGAAATAGTGGAAATGTCTGAGTTTACTCTCTGCAGGATGTTTGTGCTTGTGGCCGCTGAAAAAGTTTGTGCACACATCTGTCACATTGCCTTACAATCTTCAGGTGTAGCCTGTATTCCCTGAACTGCAGGGCCTACTTCACCATGAGTCGCAATCGTAGCTACGTATATAGGTCAAGAGCTTTTTCATTTTAAGTAAGAGTGGAAATTCCCTAGTCTCTTCTTTTCATTTCAGTTGAAAGACTACTTCCCCCTCAATGAATCAATTCAACAATTTGAACGGCCATGATGATTTTTTAATCACATCCATGTAAGTAAGACTTGTCCCATCAATTATACAGTATTTTGATTTGGGAAATTACTGCAGAAAAATAAAATTATGATTCAAAAATTAAAGTGAGAGTACTGGCTGCTACATTTAGAGAAAAAATATTTCAAATGTCTAGAACATTCTGGGTAGTTGTCAATATGAACAGGTCATATTGGGTTTTGTTGTCGGGCACCTCAATTAAACAATAATAGTTTTGTAGTACAGTCCAACTGTTTTAAGGTGAGTTAAATTATCAAAAATGACAGATAGAGAACATGTCTTATCCCTTGAGCCAGTCCACTACAGAAAATATAATGCTGTACCATGGCAATACAAATGCAATGTCAATACCCCAAATAACACTGCTATCCACCGACAGTGTAGTTTTCAAACATTAATATCCCTGGTATGTTTTGAAGGGTCAAGCGAAGTCCCTTGCTCATAATGTTCTAGTTCCAAATAATTCATCCAATATTCCACCTTGTAGGCAGCCTTTCAAAACATGGGCTGACCAAAGATATATTTGTCTTTGTCTTGATGAGTAGTTAATATTATATGTATGCCACATAAAAACACAGATATGATCTGTCATGTAAGTCACAATGTAAAGCAAGGACAAATAAAAAAGAGTCATACCCCCTGCCAGGATCTGTTGCTCCAGTTCAGCCATCTGCTTTCTGTAGGCCCTGAGTGCTGCTTCCTTAAATGTGGGTCGAAGACGCTTCTTGGGTGGGGCCTCTGCGGTCTTCTCTTCGGCAACATTTTTGTTTTCATCCTCCTGTTGTTGCTCCACTTTTTCAGACATCTCAGTGGCCTCCTCAATGATTTCATCTACCTCCTCTAACTCTTCATAACCCTCTTCCATCTCCTCTGTCACGTCATTGTCCTCTGTCTCATCCGGTTCTTCTACATCAACATACTCCACCATTGCATCATATTCAGCAGTGTCTTCAGTGAATGGTGTTTCATAATCCTCATTGTACTCTTCATTATACTGCTCGTCCAAACTGAAATCATACTCCAGAACACATGCCTCTTTACCTTCCTCATAGTCCTCTGTAGCTTCAAAATCTTGTGAAGCCTCAAAATCCTGAAAGGCATTATCTTGAGATGCCTCAATGTCTTCAGACGCATTATAGTCCTGAGAGGTCTCACACTCCTGTGTTGGTTCTTCTATCTCCTCTGTCTCATTTGCATTAGTTTTGTTCTCCAAGTTTGCTAGTACCTGCTCCATCACCTCAACATAGTGAGTCTCATTGTCTACTGGTTGTTCACCAGCTTTAGCTTCTTCACCTGTTTTCTCATCCTCTGCTTTGTAGAAAACAGGCTCAGTGCAGGCATCTGAGTCTACTGTGGTAATAGGGCTATTTGCAGTGGAGGTGGACAGGGTGCGGAAACGTCCCATAAATGATGGAGGGGGGTTGGCGGGCTCTTCTGGAGGAGTAGGGGTACTCTGAGCACCTGACTTCCAAACAACTTCCAGAGCTGACTTGGCCCTCTGCAGTGTAGAGCCAAAGCCAAAACCAAAGGATTTCTCACTGAGATCTATGCTGAGCCTACTGCTCCAAGACTTTGGAACCTCCTCAACCTTCTCAGTTCTAATCTCACTCTGGCTACGGTACATACTTGAAGTCTTATTCTGGGTCTGGTGAAAGCTATGATTGACATCCAATTCAGGGAATTTTTCTCTAGGAAGTGTTTTGGAAGTTTCCTTGGGGGCATCTTTAGGGGCTACTTTGGATGCTACTTTAGGGGCTTCTGTCGGGGCTGCTTTAGGGGTGTCTTTTGGGGGAACTTTAGGAGTCTCTTTCATGGCTACGTTTGGTAGTTCTTTAGATGGAATTTTAGAAACTTCTTTTGTGAGTACTTTACCAATCTCCTTAGATGCGACTTTTGGCATCTCTTTTGGGGCCTCTGTTGTGGGTAGTTTTGCAGCTTCTTTGGTAACCTCTTTAGCAGCAGCTGTTAGACCTTCATTAGATGCAACTTGTGGGAACTCTTTAGCAATGACTTTAGGGGAAACTTTAGGAGAATCTTTAGGGGATTCTTTAGGGGTTGAAATAGGACTCTCAATTGGGGTTATTTTAGGACTGTCTTTGGGGGACTCTTTAGGACTTTCTTTAGGAGTCATTATGGGGCTATCCTTTGGGGCCACTTTTGGAGGGACTTTTGCAACCTCCCCAGAAGTTACCTTAGATGTCACTTTAGATACTTCTTTAACAGTGGGCTTTGTGGCATCTTTAGGTGTCTGTTTAAGACTGTCTTTACGGGAAGCTTGAGAGGATTCTTTAGCTGTGGGTTTCTGAATCTCTTTCTGTAACTCTTTAGGCGCTGCTTTAGAGGTCACTTTAGGCAAAGCCTTTGCAGTTACCTTGTTACAACTTTCCTTTGGCAATATTTTGGTACTTTCTTCTTTAGTAGCCAATTTAGTTTGTTTATGTGTCACTTTAGCAGCAGCTTTAGGGGCATCTTTAGATGATACTTTTGTGGTTTCTTTTGTCATTGCCTTGCATCCTTCTTTAGATTGACGAGCAGATGACTTTATGACAGACTCACGCTCTGCCATATGAGGAATGATGTGTGTCGTTATTGGTGGAAGAGAAGATTCTCTGTCAAGCATCATGAATTCTTCATCTCCTTCAAATTGCAAATCAACTTCCTGACATTTAGTGATGTTCTCTGGAAAACCAGGGATGGTTGATGGGTCAAAGGGACTACTGACCTCTATTGAGGCCTCCAAGCCAGAGTCTGCACCCTGTTCCAGATGATGCCAGTCTTTCCACGGTGATAGATCACCTTGCAGAGAAAGCTGGGAGCCACTGTAGTGGCTTCTGTCCCCAGACATGCAGACAAGTCCATTGCTCACCCCACTATCAATAGTTTCTGTTGTCTCAACCTCATTGTGTTCATAGGTTTGATTTTCATGGCTGAGTGGGTCACTGGGGCCAGCATACCAGGAGGATGCCATGTCTTCTTGTTTTCTCTGCCACAGTTCCTGATCTGAGGAGGACAACAAGGAGCAGCCATTGGCCCGTGTAAAGTACTGGCTCTCTGAAAAGTCTTCCGAGTAAGACTGGCAAAGTTTTGAGCAGTCAGACTCAGAGCGGCTGAGTTTAGGGGTGGAATAGTCACTCTGAGAAAGCCAACCTGGGGTCAAATCAGAGTAATAAGCCTTGGCATGCTTGTCTGGGTCATAGTAAGAGTCATCAGCATAATGAACTGCTCCTGAGTAGCCTGCTTCTTCTCCTGACCTGCTATGGTCATGGGATCGCCTTTTCTCTGATTTACTCTTGTGAACAGGCTTTGAAATCACCATTGCATATTTGTTTCTGCTTAATTCCTCCAATTCTTTGTCACTGTCCATTGAGTCCCAATCATCACTCTCTTTATCCTTTCCAGAGACCTTTAGATCCATGCTCTCATAGGTTTGGGAGGATGGCAATGCTTTGTCTTTTCTCTCCTTTCCATCATGAGTTAAGCTATCAGTAGAGACTGTAATGCCTGTTCCTTTAAGTTTATAGCATTTTTTCAAGACTAAATCCCTATCTTGAGTTGTCGCAAAAATTACAATAATAGGACGGGGTTTTGCATTAGAACATTCTCTCTGTTGCCCGAGCCTATGCGCAAGTTCAATTTTTATTGTTTTGTGGGCATCAATGAAACCCATTTTGTCTTTTAGTAATTTATATATCAGACTCTCTGTTTTCTCAGGCCTTTCTTCTGGAACATTGAGAAACCGCAAGGTTGAATTATTGGCCTGGTGGCTAATTTGTTTTATGTAGTCATGGATATCACGTGTTTCTCTTCTAGACTGGACAAATCCCGAGCGAAGCTGCTCAATCTCACTCTGAACGACTTCCACGCTACTGGAAATCTCATCAATTGAACTTTTTAGAGCATTGACATGGCCACGCAGCTCAGACAGTTCTGTCTCTATCTGGCTGATTCCTTGAAGCTCCTTAAAAATCATCTCCATGACATCCTGGGTTTGACTGATGCAACCTGTGGAGGAGGAGCCAGGCTCCAGGGTTGAACTCTTTTGCTGGCGTCCAGCACGGTCCAAGGACTTGCTCCGAATGCCCAGTGTTTTCCTCCAATTGCTCACCTCGGAGTCGGATGAGACACATTCCTGACTCTTTTTCCATTTTCTTAACTTGCGTAGAGCACCCAGTCTAAGTGTGTGTAGACTGGAGCGTTCCACTCTTTCCCCCTCAGAACTTCCATCAGAGGGAGCCAAACTGATAAGGCTCTTCCTGTTTCGTCTTACTGGCATTGTGTGTGATTTATGCTCATCCAGTCTCCGGACAGGTTTTGTCTCACTCAAAGAGTCAGAGTAACTACTATCAATTGAAAGAACCTCAGGAAAGATGCTCTCATTATTATTCAAAAAAGGTGAGCTTTTTGGGAGTCCATTTGCTATAGCTACACGATAACTGAAAGTGGGTGACAAGGATGAGCAGTCGTTCTTTCCGTCGTCGTCTTCAAGCGATATGTTACGTGCCGAAGAGCATTTGGAAATCTTTTTCACTGTAGTCTTTAGTGTATTAGAAAGAGCTAGATTGTGTGCTTGCAAATCAGCGGTCAATTTAGGTTCTTTATTTTCGCTTCTCTCTTTCTTCTTTATTGGGTTTGCCAATTTCTTTGTAAACATTCCTTTGCAAATCTTTTCAATGTAGGATGATATAGTCTTGATTAGGGCAGAAACCATGGATGACAATTCGGTGGAATGTTTTTTATCATCTAGTGAAAGGAGAAGATGGCTGAAAATACTGTGGTGCTGAGCCAAGCACAATCAACTTGTGCTTTGCAGTGACTAGCTCACAATCACTAAAACCGCAGTCCACGTGGAGAATCAGCAATCCTCTTGAATCCAGTCACCTCCTTCCAGAAACGGAACATCTCTCTGAAATACAAAAGAAAATGTAAATTAATGTTTTTTTAAAGATTCCCAGTTCACACTAATTGCAAACAGGAAATACTGTCTTGCTATATGCTTTGTGTTAAATCTTTGACAGGCACTCAATGATTACTCTCACTGAGTAATCTCGAGACGTAATGCAAAAGAAACAGATTATTCACATGAATTAAATACAGGTCTTCATTTGAACATTTAAACAAACAACAATTTTTTTCTGTTTTATTATTTTCCATTATGTATTATTAACACAGTTAGCTGCGTGCATGGCTTTATAACAAACCCCACAGAGCACTGAAGTCACCCATCCAACTTAGACATCACATTAACTCTATGCCAGACATGCTGACAGAGAGAGGGGAGGGAGAGACATAGAGTGAGAATTAAACTTACACAGTACTCACAATACTACCAGAGAGTGTATATGGTAACAGGAAGCACAAAACTATGGTCATACTTCGACAGTGAGTTTAGCATGAATACATATTTAGCTTAATAAAAAAGTGCTGATGTTAAAGAACCTGATATTTGGTAATTGTTTAAATTGCGATTATTATTATTACTATTATCTCTTATCAACACAGAAACTAAACACACACAAACCAGACTAAACATCTAAAATCATATTCAACACTAAGACAAAATCTTGTATTAGCTGTGTGGCTGTGTTTTCCATATATTGGTTAGTTAATTAATTAGTGAAGTGGTGCGTTATTTTTGGTGTGTTTGTGGGTGGTCTCTTGTTAAAATGAAGAAGTCAGTGACCTATGTTGTCATACGTGTATTGTCCGAATTAGATTATTAAATGGTTCAGCCATTCAAGAATGATAATCCATATGTGCAACTAATTTAAGAGGACAAATCGGCCACCTCAGTCCTGTGAAAAACAGGCCAGAAACATTTTGAGTCTACGGTATTAAACTTTAAACAGCTTGGAGTTTTTTGAGAGGTGTGTTTTCTATAGGGTGGACGTGGCCAACTGAGTCAAAAGAGGGGTGTTTGTTGTGCAGAGGATCTGACAGCTGCTCCACATTAGTTCTGGTGTTTAGATCGTGATGTGTGTACAGTCTCATGACCACAGAGACGTGCTCGCTTCAAATGAGCTGTGAAACACAGCATCGCAGTTTTTATTGCAGGGCTCCGAAGACAGACCAGGCATTAGCAAATAGAGGTTAAGACCACGTTGTCAGTATTGATGTGTTTCTTCCAGCATTGTGTGGTAGAATGAGTCCAAGAGGTTGACTATTGGAATTAGGTTTGAGGTAGGCCTTAGGCTAGGTTGATGTTCAAAGAAAAGACATTTTACTATTTCTAATACTAAAAGATTATGTGCAATAGAACCATTCTGAAAGAATGAGCTGTAGGCTTTTAACCTAAATCTAATTCAAATCTATAAAACTAATTACATTAGAATTCTGTCCCAAAACTCTCCTGGTGTAGTCCCAATTGAAAGTAAGTTAAATATCATTATCAAAATTACTTTACAGAAATGGAACGAGAACGGGCTGAGGTGAAGACGGATTACAGAATATTTGATGGCATGAGAAGGTTCATGACTCAGCTCTCTTGAAGACTGGGATGAAGCCAAGAGAAGCCTTTTGCAACTGATGGGTCAAGACCTGAAACTGTCCCCCCATAAATAATCACATCAGATATTGTTTAAATATGTCCTGACATTGCCCCGACTACTCTCACTGACATTTTCAGCCCTCGTCTGAACTTACATCTGCATGCAAAAACTGAGAGGTGTCGCAGCACAAGAGTCAACTTGTGTTATTCAGTTAGCAGCTGAGGGGCTTGTTCAAGGGCACCTTTAGTTGTAAGGGTTAGAGAAATGATGTTTTATTGACTCGCTCCACCAGGACAAGATCATACTTATGTTGTTTTGTCATTGATATAGTATGATATCACATTAAAAAAACATCCTTGAGGAGTTATTACATTTGCAATTCAGCTCATTTGTTTGTTATGAGGTTATGTTGTCATTGGTAATTTGTTTGTCTGTAATTTAGCATCATTACACAAAAACTACAGGACGGATTACCACTAAACTTTTGGTGTGGATCAGGGGGCAGATCCAAGTTTTTTTTTTTTTTACCATTTCTTGAACTCTGTGAGATATGCCTTTTTTCATATTTTCAACGATTTCCCAGAGAATAATGAATGGACCTAAATGGAAAAAAGGTATTTAAGGGGACTTATATCTATCATTCTGTACAACTTCATATGGCTCAATTGCATTTGAGTGCCAATCTAGTTTTTATTGAAATGTGGTGGCTTGTCTGTACACAAAATAGACAGATGTCAAACTGACACCAAAGTTCATCATCTAAAAGGAATTTATCATTTATCAAAACACTACAGACAACAAAGCCAGAGTTGAAAAGCCAAAGGGTTTACTGTGATGGATCTCTTAGGATGGCAGAATGAATTGTCTCAGGGGCTAACTGCTGTTCTCAAGCAGCAGGTGGGTGCTCACAACTCTGAAAATGCCAGAGCAATTTTTCTAACAGTCATCATTTGGGCAAACTGGCCAAAAATCAAAAGAATATCAAAACAAATAAATTAAGTCTCCACATAGGTCGTCATTTCTCATTATATCACTGAGCATCGACAAATCACTTTGATCTTTTAGCTTGTACGAGCTGAGGCCTCCCTCAAACTCATTTTAGCTTTGTTACAAATGTTGGTGGGAGAACTTACAGTTGCCACAGACAGATGTAAAATATGCATATACCTGTACACTGTCTAATCAGAACGTGTATGTGCATGGACAATGATTGTCTAGGCCTTGAAGAATGCCCATACATTTTGTCATTTACAGGTTAATAATTTTAAATTGGGCGTCTACAAGAACACATTTACATGCTGTAATGTTCAAAATATGCATTACGTGCCTCATAAAGTATTTTTTGCTGAAACGCCTCCTTACATCCTCAGTCTGAAATGCTCCATTTTGGCTTTTGGCACATCTTCCAAGAAGACCAGTCTGTCTTTGTAATCTTTTATGATACACTTAAGGAAAGGGAAAAACTTGAAAAGCCTAATATGGGCACTTTAAGAACCAAGATGAAGGTTCATTGATCACAGTTGCATGAGATGTGGTGGGAGCCCTGGGTTTTAATTTGGTGGATACTTTCTATGAGAGGAAAGCAAAGACAAAAAATACCTTGTTTAAAGAAAGACAAGTCATGCTGTTATGTGCAACAATTGTCAGGCTCAATTCTTTGTTGATTGATAACTGCTGTGACTAAATATTGTTTGAGAAGGAGTCATTCAAAATATCTGAAATGGAATAATAATATGCTCATACAACTCAGAACTGTTTAATAGAAACCATTTTATAAATGTAAAACAAGTCCATTCGCAAAATAAATATGAAAAACAATTGGATAAGTAAAAAGAAGTTTTTGTCTACATACTTGAATGACAAAATATTGTGAGCCGAATGAAAGTGCAATTAAAATTACCCTGTCTCTAAAATAGAAATGAGTTGGGTGACATCAATAGCAGTTTCTAGAAACTGAATCAGTTGGTTACAAAGAAATTGGTAGACCATGGATGATTTCAAAATATTGATTAAGATAAGCTGTAGCAAATAAACTCTAGTGTTTTCTTTATTATTATAGCTGAACGCTTGATGTTGGTCCCTGCAAGACATTGTTACATTTTTCAGACTGAGAAAATGCTTAATCTTCACCAGATGTGTCTGCTCTTTTTATCTGATCAAACTAACTTTTGTTTGCAAAGGCTGCAGGGGTGCATGTGATGCATGGGATGTTGTTAATGGAGCATAGGCACACAAAGATATTTTGCTCTGTGCTTGTCTGCATTAGTCGGTGCTGGAGACTGACTAGATATGACCTCGAACGACACTTCAACAATCAAACATCGATGCAAAGAGTTTCAAATTCAGGGTAAAAAAGTGACTGGGAAAGATAAAAAAAATTCAATAAAGCAAAAGATAATCATATCGGGGAAGAACATTTGTCAGCTTTAGCAGTACCTTTTAGGGTAGCTTTAAATTGAGAATATGGTTTTGATGTGGTTAAAAAAACAAAATGTAAAAAAACTTATTAATTGCAAAAAAAATGTGCATAGTCTGCATGGTTTGTTGATGACAGGTATTTGTGGGACCCACCCTCAAAGGATGTTATCTGATCAGAAGAATATTTTGAATTTTGAATTTTTTGTGCAGATTTCTTTTTTTGAGTTAGGGGTTGAAAACATGCGTACATGGCCCAATTGTTTTATTTCTAATTCTCATTTTTACTGGAATTTGAGGTTTCCTCTGCAAAAAAAATTTTTTTTCAACTGCTGAAGAGTTCATATTCTTAGTTAAATTAAGTCCATGTGCTGTTTTTATCTTGCTTCTGACCATAAATGAAAATATATATGGATTCAGTGACACAGGTTATGCATAACATTTTACATACTACCCTTTCATTCATAATATAATTTGTAAAAATGATAGCACATTTTGGAATGTATCTTTAACATTTTAATGTGGATCTTGTTGAATGGCTCAACCATTTTGCAATGTAGTGCATGAAATAAATTGAGTTACAGCCCCAATCATGTCCGTCGGCATCTGGAATATGTTACAGTTTACTGTAGCAGACACAAGAACATCAGGACTGTGCTGCACTATGGCTGCCCTCTGTCCAGACAAATCACACTAAGAGAGTACTAATGTTTAATGAGTGCTGATTACCAATTAGGGAGCTGCCTTTCTCTTTGCAGAGCCAACATCCTGACATCTGCATGTTAAGGTTTGACAAATGGAGCATTCACCCTCTTCCAGAGCTAGAGTTGATTCGCAAATGACTTGATAATGCCCACGAGGTATCGCCTGTATCGTCCCATTAGAGTGTAATGATGCAAGAATTAGGAGAAAAGGATGACAGATAACTAGATCACCTCATCCCACTTGTGCATGTTTTTGAGCACAGAATCTGCTAAGATATGGAGGTGGATGCAGACTCGGCAACAAATGAGCCACAAATTAAATGGTACCGTGTATTCAGAGCCCTCATGACAAGCACTTGTGAGAATGAAATTACATGTTGGGTTATCCATGTGTATGGTATCAGAGCTATTGTTCACCCGTACTGATGTTTGTAGAATAATAAACGTAATAGAAGTCATTTTATAGCACCTTTAATAGAGATACGTGGGCAGTGGTTGGTTTGAAACTAAATCAACTAAATCAATTGAGATGTCTTATATGCAACTTACTCATCAACTACAAGTCTAGCATTTTATAAAAATGACTTGCTCAATAATCAACTTGCTTGGTCAGGAAAGAGCTCCCAGACTTTTGTTGCCAGCTACTATGACAAAACAAAATCTGGGAACTCCTGGGGTCCTGGGGTAGAGTCCCTCCCACATGTGAGTCAGACCAGAGAAACCTCCAGAGAAAAGGGGAACACCTCAGCCACACCCACTCCTTCTGCTCTGTGCCACTACTACCCCAGGCCCTGCATTAATGTCCAGGGACCAATTTCCAGCCCACTTCCCCCCTCACCTAAATGCATCTGATGAGCAGAGCATTCTAACACACTGAGCTTCTCTCACTTGCACAATCTCTGCCACTCTCCTTCAATGAAAATGAGTGTCAGTAGGAGGCACGATAACCTATTTCTCACAATTGTTCAATCTGCTCTTTTCTCCTGGTGAAAAACGCCAGCACGCCAATTTGAGTTTATTATGCTGCAGGTAATTATGCTTCACGCTGTATGGGCTCTTCAGCTTCTTGTCGTTCTGAGTCAAACATCTTTTTGTGCAAACCTTTAGAAACAGATGCAGAAAGATGAGAGATGCTCACATGTTACGTCATGTCTTCAGAACACATTAGTGTGGATTATGGCCAAGTGTGGATTAGTGCACATGTGGGAGTGTGTGCATGTCTATGTGTGTGCAGCCGTGCGTGCACACACATGTGCGCCATCCCTGCATGGCTGCTTTAAAGCATGCATTTGCTGCTCTGAGGGGAAAGCGAGGCATCATACCAGTGGGGGGATGAGCGTGTGCGGGTGTGTGCATCCTCAGATCATATTGCCCTCACGCCCATCCTCAGCCTCCCTTTCTCCTAACCTGTGCATTTCCCACAGTGAAATATCTGCCTGCAGCCGTACAGGAAGCCAGCCAACCTCACAACAGATTGTCTGCCCTCATACATCAAAATATTACCGTTCATTTGGCCAGCATGACAAGACCCACGTCTCATCGCATTTGCTCAGTGTGAAACAGCATTGCTCACATGCGTGCGTGTTGTTCGTTCTGAATAACAACACGGGGAAAGGTGAGAATTAGAGCAATGGGACATTTGTAGACTCGACAGTGTTGGTGTCAAATCTGGGTTTTTGGAGCAAACAGCAAAACGGCTAAATAAATACCATAAAACACGTTTTAGTGGTTTTCAACCAGCTATAGGTCGATAGATAGATGATGGCATCTGTCCGCATCATTCTCAAATATCGTTTCATTCATCCAGTGACAGGGCCACAGAGGGAGGGGAGGGAAGCAACAAGAAGGTTTAGGATGAAGTCGGAACAACACTCAGCCTCCACACACACCGTGCATGCACACACAACACGCACGCAGCGTCCGGACCAGGCTATGCCTGCTGCACGTACCTGGTTGTGTCAAATCTCCTCCGTGCAGCTGCAGCAGCAGGACTCCAGCGGTGTAGTGATCACAGCGAGCCGTGTGGAGCGAGTCCCCCGGTTTCAGCGAATGGTCTGAGAGAGGCAGACCAGCGATGATGCTGGAGAGGAGAGGCAGGGAGGGAGGGAGGGGAGAGGAGAGCGGCTCGGTGCGCAGCTGGCTGCTAATACCAGAGCTCAGAGCATCTCCCCGCGTCCGTCAGACACCACATCTCACAGCCCTGCCTCCGCGAACAAGCACAACTCTCCTCCATGTCTGTACCTCCACCACCTCACCCGGTGCTCTGCTGCGCTCCCCTGTCTGCGTTATGAGGGGGGGGGGGGGGGGGGGGGGGGGGGCACAGATGCTGCCTTTTTAGTTGCTCCACGATTGGCACGCGCAAACACACACACACACACACACCCTCCTCGGAGACAGTGTTATAGCACGGGGTGTCTAGTCCATAGTGGGATGCAGACAGACGGGTGGTGCTGATGGGGAGGCAGACAGCGCTGCGGCTGTTCCGGGCTGCCCAGACTGAGATTGTGCTGTCCGGCTGCAGAATGTCTGTCCCTCCCCTGTACAAAACTCTCTCTCTCCCTCTCTCTCTCTCTCTCTCTCTCCTTACTCAATGAGAGAGCTGCACACCCCCACCCCAATACACACAGTCTTCATCTATACACACACACAGACGTGCACAAGACGCCTTGACTGAGAGGTGAGCAGAGACGTGCAGGAGCCTACAGAATAAATGTGTGATATAAGGCTATAACTGCGTGATCTGCAAAGACAACCGCACATTGCGATAGACACAGAGTGATGTAATGAGCCAATAAACCTTGGAAACCACAGATACGCGCTGAGGAGCAGTGTGACGCTACAGGGCTGTTGCTTTCATTTTTTTGCTTGGGGGGGGGGTGAAAGTGTCGTGCACGCGCGCCCAAAACCAGCATTGCGCGCGGGCTCATGGGCATGCCTGAGGGGCACGAGGAGCACTCTGTCATCATTTTCTTCCAAACACACACACAAACACACACATACATTCACACACTTGGATTGATTTCATGAAGACCTACCCTGACCATTGCCACAACTAACTTAACCCTAACCTTAAACAGTGACCCACATATCTGCTGATTCACAATTTTAGATTTTAGAAATGTGCCTGTGAAGGCAACCTGTGACACACATACACAACCATATATTCCATCGAATTGAGGACACACATTGGTATAATGCGTTCACGAGCCCCTTACCCCAACCTTAGCCATCACAGCTAAACGTCTAACCCTTACCCCACCCTGAAGTAAACCTAATTCTAACCCTTACCCAAAGCAAGTCTTTATCCTCAGTCTATTGAAAGTGGGTCAGATAGTGGGGGGGTCAACAAAAATGTCCTCACAAAGATATTTCTACAAGTACACACACGCGTTTGCACAGCTGACCTTATCAGTGCATTGCATTGACTTCCATTTATTGTAGACAACCTAGCCAAAACCTTATCCCTAACCTTAATCATGACCACTTCCTGTGTAACCATTAACCTAACCACAATTAACATCTTACCACTAACCTTTACCAGGACCTCAGAAATGAAGATTTGCCTCATTAAGACCAGGCTTTGATTCCCATTGGGTGAATTGGTCCTGACAAGGTCAGTGTTAAGACTGGAAAAGGTCCTAAATAGTTAATAAAATTGACACACACACACACACACATTTTATTAATTCAGCCAATGTCCAGGATCTAGAAGACCACTCCCATCTGCATCACACACACACACACAACAGAGCTCCAAACACACTCAAACATCATCTAATTATGTCTCTCACTGGAAATTTCGCCACACATGATTGCTCATTGGCACTGCAGATTAGTCATCGACGTACTCCAGTGCATTAAAACACCATCGGCGTCACGAAATGCACGTGGCACAGATTCACAGCTGTGGTAAAAATACACACTTATTTGGAAGAGAAAAAAAAACAGAATACACTCAACCTCATGACAAAATGGCAACGGAGGAGAGGCAGTTGAAGACAATTGCTTTAATTTGTCCTTGTTTGACATTTGGCTAATTGAGTCCTTTTTTAATTCCCTGTTGACAGGGACAAATGAAGATGGACACATTGAAATGAAAACATTACAGGTAGAGTGTCACATGATAGTCCACATCATTTCACCCACTCCTTCCTGCCTTCGTGTTGATTAAGCTTACATGTTAAGCTCATCTCTCTCGCTCTCCCTCCTTCTCTCTCCCTCTCTCTGCTCTGGTGAGCGTGAGCCTGCCTCCCTCCCTCTGTCAGTCTTGCTCTCCTCTCTCAGCTGAGATGTGTGTCATGCGTTCCTCCAACAGCCACTAATTGTCTGGCCTTCTAGCGCAATCACATTTCCCTCCCCACTCTCTCTATCTTTCTCTCTGTCACATGGGAGTGTGGTAGGATGTTGGGAGATGTGTAAATGTGTGTGGTTGTGTTGAGGCAGTGGGGGTTGGAGGAGGAGGATGGAGGATGCTGTGTGTATGGCTCCTGCTCGTCCCCTGCTGGTGGTAACAGTAAATGCATTCTGGAACCTCAGCTGTTCATGACCCTTTCTCACCTAAATGATAGCCTCCAATTACCGCAGCACACGTGTGTTCAGCCAGAGATACCAGAGCAAATGCTGATTAATTTAAGCATTTGTCATGGTTCAGTTTAAATCTAATGTGATGTGGGACTGGGGTAAATGGGCAAATTAATTGTGTCTGCACAATATTAAGATATATTTCAATTGCACCATGTATGATGCATGTTTATTGCTGTCTTTCACAGATAATTCACATCAGTACAGCTATTTCTGTAAAAAAAACAAACACATTGTTTGACCCCCTCCTTTCCCACCATCTCTCTATTTCAGTTCCATACACTATCCTTTGATACGCTTGTGTGTTTCATTCTCCCACTTGCTGCCATCTCCGGAGGCAGAGACCCTTGCTCATGATGTGCCCTGTTGCCAATAGGGACAGCAAGACAAAACTCCTGAGGTCTTTTCCACCTTCATCCCACACTCTCTTCTCTCCAGCCCTAGCCTTCCCAAGCTTGTGCAACAAATACAATACATTTCCTCCTCAGGTTATCTGTCTTAGACTGTGACCATCTCAGAATGGTCAAATTTTCACTCATCCTTTAAAGACAAATATATCTTTGGTTATTGTTTTTATTCAATTGCTAACATGGATATAAGCCGAATATTTGCTACAATTTATACTGTGCCAAGAAATTTTCAGCAAAAACATTCTGATTTGGCAAAAGTCAGCCCACTACCACCTCAGTACACCCCAGTGACCTGGTTAACAGATTTAATGAGCACTGTTTCTCAGCCTTGCAACTCTACTGTGCTGTTATAAACAATGTCTTCTCCAGTTGTCAGTCATTCTCCGTGAAGATACAGAGCGTTGTTTCAAACACAAATTCAGACAGGCCAAACGCTGATAGAAGACAAACAAACCAGAGGTGCATCTATTGTTACTCAGGTAGCTCCTGGCATTGTATAGAGTGAGGAATCAAACCTGATCACAAATGACCAAATTCAATCTGTGTTTATGCTCCAGAATACTAGTTGGATTTCAAACAGGACTCAGTTGATTACTGTAGTTCTTTATAATTTAAAAAATCACCAGCATCTCATCTTAAACCCTGCCGCTATGTGGAACTAACATTCAAAACAGTTTTTTTCTGAGAGCTACTTCAACTCATTTATTTGACATGTGAATCCATCTTTTAGCCAATTTGACAATGTACAGCCATCTGCTATGACTCACTGACACTATTGGCTTCAGTCTACATGTGAAGCGCTCCAACTGTTTTGAGCAAGCAACAGAGTGAGCAATATGCACCTTTATTGAAAAAATGAATTTAGATCTCTCAGTCCTTCACAATTATAGACCTTTCTCCCTAAAACCATTACTGAGGAATGCCCTTTCTTTTCTGGCAAGACCTTAACAGAACCGAAACTGACATCCTTTGTGTCATATATTAATTGTGTGGGCAGAATCCATGCTGCTTATAATCAATATCAATGATACATTGACAGAATTGATGCGTCTGGATTGACTGAAAAGTACATGGACACAAAACGATCGGTATGGTTTAAATGTCAATCTCCATAGATGATTGCGATGCTCTAACAGCCCCCAGTACCTCAGAAATCAATCCTCAGTACAATCTTATGTGTGTATGCCCCTGTTAGGGCACATGGTTTGCTGTTTTTAGCTCTCTTATCATTGTTATGCTGATGCTACACTGGTAACAGCATGTTATTTAGCCCTACAGACACCATGAAGATGGATATAATGTAAAATTGCCTTAGTGTGATAAAAGAATGAATCCCTCAGACCTTTCTGCTATCAAACTGACAGAACCAAGATTGAGCCAAAATGGTACACCCATTTTATTTGACCCCATGCTAGGTTGATTCATATGGATTTGTGCAGTGAACTGATTTTATTTCATCCTTTCATCCCTCGCAACATGTTTTTCCCTAAGACGTATATATAACTACACATTTAGGTTCTCTTCAATGTGACTCATACAAATTACAAACTAAATTTGTCGGGCTCCGCAAGCTGGATTTTTAGTGTTTGATAGTCTTAGTTGAAATCCAGTAATTATTTCAATTTGTACTTATTTATTTGGTTTAAATTATCTAACATTGCAGCTCATCCGAGAGTTGTTGTGCCTTGTCAACACTGAGAGGAGTCTGAGATCCACAGAAGGATTGTTTGCTGTTTCAGAGTCAGGGCTGAAAGCAAGATGTGATTGTGTTTCCTATCACTGCTCTGCAGGAACAGTTTTGATCAAAGTGTCATTGCAATGTTTTAAACAGCATCTTAAGATGAATTTGTTGTCATCTGTAAATGCGTGAACTGTCTTTTGACTCTGTTTGTAGACCATGTCTTTTTTGAATGTGTTAGTTTGCATTCTTATTTGCTTCAGTCTGCATTTGTGCTCCGTTCCCTTCTCTGTTGGCCAAGCTCCTGTGATTATTATTATACCTCATATATTCAATTTCCCCCCCTAATCTGTTGTTGGCGAGGTTCGCAGCTCTACAGAAAAC